AGGACCATAGAAGAATTGATGCACTTGAATTATGGCGTTGGAGGAGAATATTGAAAGTGTCGTGGGCTGCCAAAAGAACCAACAGATCTGTGTTGGAAGAAGTGTAGCCAGAGTGCTTCTTGGAGGCCAGGATAGCTACACTTGGTCTCTCAAACTTTAGACATATTGTCAGGAGGGACCAGTCGCTGGAGAAAGATATCATGTTTGGTAGGGTGGAGGGTCAGAGAAAAAGAGAAAGAACCCCAGCGAGATGGATTGACAAAGTGGCAGCATCAGTAGGCTCAAGCGTGGCAACAGTAGTGAGGTTGGCCTAGTATCGGGCAGTGTTTAGTTCTGCTGTGCATAATAAGTTGGTACCGACTTGATGGCACCTAACAACAGTGACAACAATGTGCAAAATATTAAATGATGCAGAAAGCATCAAAAGAAGATTGAAGGAATACACAGTCACAATGCCAAAAACAAATGATCGATGTTCAGCCATTTCAAGAGGTAGCATATGATCAAGAACCAATTGTACTGAAGAAAGAATTTCAGACTACACTGAAGGCATAGGAGAAAAACAAGGCTCCAGGAATTGATGGAATACAAATTGAAATGTTTCAACAAGCTGATGAAGCACACAGGAGGTGAGGTACTCATTCATCAATGCCAAGAAATATAGAAGACCTGACCAGTTGATTAGAAGACATCCATATTCGTATCCATTCCAAACAGTGATGATACAACCAAATGCGGAAATCATTGAACAATATCATTAACAACTCAGGCAAGCAAAGTTTTGCTGAAGATAATTCAAAAACGGTTGCAACAATACGTCAACAGAGAACTGTCAAAAATTCAAGCCAGATTCAGAAAAGTATGTGCAACGAGAGATTTTACTGCTGGCATCTAATGGATCTTGTCTAAGGCAAAGAATACCAGAAAGGTGTTTGTTTACCTGTTCATTATTGACTGTGCAAAGGCTTTAAAAAAAAAAACAAAAAACTTTTTATTGTAAATTGAGTGAAAGTTTACAGAGTACATCATCAGTTTTACATTCAGTATATCATGCACTTTGTTTCAACTCATGATTTCAATCCTCTCCATGGAACAACAGTTGGCTCACTTTCTCCCTGTGTTTCTCATTTCCATTCCACCTTCCTTCCCCTCCATTCCTAACTTTGTCCTTAGGTCAATGTTGCCCTTTGATCTTGAATGTTTGACCATTCCATTATGTTGTTGTTAAGTGCCATGGAGTTCGTTCCAACTCATAGTGACCCTGCACAGGGTTTCCAAGCTGTAATTCTTTACGGGAGCAGAACGCCTCATCTTTCTCCCACGGAACCCCTGGTAGTTTCAAACTGCCGACCTTCATTCAGGTTAGCAGCCCGATTTGTAACCACTATGCTACCAGAGCCCTTATTCCATTATGAGCACACCTTATTAGTGGTTTTGTTCCTGCTTTACCTATCTACTGCTTAGCTGAAAATTGGGCTATATGTGTTCCATTCCAGACCTGAAGGGTGCCAGGGACCGTAGTCTTACATTCCTCCAGTCTCTTTTCTAATCAGTATTGTTAAGTGCTGTGGAGTCAGTTCCAACACTTAACAACCCTGTAAAGGATCTCCAAAGACCGACTGGTGGGTTTGAACTGCCACCTTGCTGTTCAAATCAGACTTAACCATCCAGGGTTTATCCTATAGCACCACACCAGGATAGACATCAGTTTTACATTCAACAAATCATACACTTTGTTTCAACTCAATGATTGCAGTCTCCAGTTAGCCTGATCTTTTTATATAATTGGGGTTTTGTTCCACATTTTCTCCCACTCTATCCAAGACCTCCTAATGTGATCCCTTTCAGAGCAGTTGATAGTGGTAGCCAGACACCATCTAGTTCTTCTGGTTTTAGAGTGATAATGACTAATCTTCACATGTTCCGTTGTTCTATTGTACTAGTTGATCCCAAACAGCTGTCATCATTCTTCTTTCTTCCAAGAAACCAATAGTTGTACCTTAGATGGCCGCTCATGTGCTTTTTTTTTTTTAAGTTTCAAATGTACTTTATTTCTTCAATAATGTCATATTTTAATGGGTACGTGGTGCTTTTACTTGGCATCAATTACAATTTCATTGTGAAACAATTCAGTATTTTTCAACAGCTGCTTTGATTACTAATCTCTCCATTCCTTGGGGTGACTCAGCCAACAGGAGACAGGTTCCATTTTAGTCCAATTTGTGTTGCTGTATATGTCCAAACAGCAACACAGAAAGTAGCTCCACTAGCTAATACAGCATTACCATATTTGTCATAGAAATCAGGTGCACATTTCTGATGGCCATGCCTTGCCATTGTTTGCTGAATGCTTCAGACTTGAAGACGACTTAGTGCATTTTTGGCCAAGGGAAACATCGTGAAGAAATAAACAGAACTGCGGTAATTACAGTAGGTGGATAGAGACAATTCGCATCCAGTACCCTTGCAAGGAACCCTGAAAAACAGACTCATGAGCTTTTAAGATCCCAGCCACTCTTACCAAGGTAGGATGTAGACTATTGCCTTTATGTGGACTTGCTATGCCAATTAACCATGGTGCCCCCTGAGACTATGGTACCAAGCCCCCAGGCCCAGCAACTCATTGCCTTTAGATGTTTGGTAATATTTAAGATGTTTTCCTCATTTTTTGTAAAGGCTTTTCACTGTATGGTGGTGGTTATGTGCCGTGGAGTCGGTTCCAACTCACCCTGTACAGGGTTTCTGAGGCTGTAAATCTTTACGGGAGCAGAAAGCCTCATCTTTCTCCTGTGGAACAGCTGGTAGTTTCTAACTTCTGACTTTGCGGTTCTCAGCCCAATTCGTAACCACTACGCTATACAACATGATAAACTATGGATAGCGTTGCAAAGAGTGAGTAATCTAGAACACTTTATTGTTCTCATGAGTAACCTGTATATAGACCAAGAGGCAGTTGTTCCAACAAAACACGGGGATACTGAATGTTCTAAGATCAGGAAAGGTGTGTGCCAAAACTATATTATTTCACCATGTTTTTCAGTCTGTATTCTGAACAAATAATCCCAGAAGTTGGATTATATGAAGAACATAGCATCAGGATTGGAGGAAGATTCATTAACAGCCTACAATAGGAAGATGATTCAACCTTGTTTGTTGAAAGTGAAGAGGGCTTAAAATACTGATGAAGATCAAAGACCAAAACCTTCAGTATGGATTACACCTCAGGGTAAAGAAAATGCAAATCTTTGCAACTGAATCAATAAAGATTGAACACAACTAAAGAAAAGATTGAAGTTGTCAAGCTTCATTTTGCTTGGTTCAACCATCGGTATTCATGGAAGTAGCAGTGAAGAAATTAAAACGACATATTACATTAGGCAAATTTGCTTCACAAGACCTCTGTACTCTTTAGAGTGTTAAAGAGTAAAGATATTAGTTTGAAAACTAAGGTGTTCCTACCCGAAGTCATGGTGTTTTCAATTGTCTCAGATGCATATGAAAGTTGGACTATGAATATGGAAGGTTGTTGAAGATTCAGTTCATTTGAATTATGGGGCTGGAAAAGAATATTAAAAATACAATAAACTTCCAGAAGAAAAAACAAATCTGTGTTGGAAGAAGTACAGCCAGAATGCTCCTCAGAAGCCAGGATGGAAAGACTTCGATTTTCATATTTTGGATAGTTTTTCAGGAGGGACCAATCCCTGGA